CAAAGTGGAAGAAGTTGTCGTCGCCGTAAAAACCCTGTCACGATTCTACTTCGGGAGATAATGTATTGCAAAAGAGAAGCGCGACTCTCCTGCGTCTGATGTTTCCTTCTGCAGAATCCTTCGCGCCACCGTGAGTCCCGCTTCTCTTTTCCTTCAAATATCACGAAGAGACATATTGTATCAAACCTTTGATTTTTATTAATTTCTGCCTTTCATAGAGTTGTATTCCACAAATTTGTATTCTACAGACTTTGCGCTTCCGAGATTTGTATTTCTCAAACTCGTGCCTCTAAGATTTGCGTTTCTCAGGCTTTTGTTCCTCGGATTTGTGCTGTCCTGAGATCGGTATTCCCAAACTAGTGTCTCTCAGCCTTGTGTTTCTCATATTTGCAACATCAAAAAGAGAATAATATAAGTTGCAGGACGAAGGCGATCGACTCGCAACCGGCAAGCTTGATGGATTGAGCAACTCGATGTATTGATTTACGTCGATGCCGTCCTCAGCGCGGCAAAATAATAAATACAGAAATATGCCGAGACCTCGGATTAAATCGGTTTGCGAGCTCACACGCCCCAAGCTCACACCCTTCCTCTCGAATTCGGTGATGATCAATTAGCGGCTGCGTGTCGAATCTTTCGCCCTGCGGTTGCAACGATATCCCTGAGAAACGCCGTTATTTTTCCGCATTTTGATCAAACCCGTTCCGCCCGACATGTATAATTCACGATGGGATCTGAAACGGTTCATGCAGTGGGTCAGTCACTTAAGCGGATAACGTCATGCGGAGATGCAATACAAACTAGACAATGCTAATAATTTCAATGTAATTATATCAGCATATATTTTAATGTAACGATAATTACTTGGTTGATTTATGGTTGATGGTTGGATTTCTGAGCTCAACAGAGTCGAGATTTAACTTCAAACTCGAATCGAACTTTTGATCGACTGTATATAGCGTTTGATACAGAGCAAAAATAGCGGAAGCATCTTTTAATAATTATTTATAATAATTTATAATTTTTGATTAGTTTTAAATGTATTGATTAGTCTCACATTTATTTATAATAATTTACAAAATTTGATTAGTTTTACTTCACAATTAGTATAATTGTAATTATATTATAATTATAAAAAAGTTCAGACATAATTATCATGATAGAAGCAAGAGCGGTTTTTAAAGTGTGTGTATGTGTGTGTGTGTGTGTATTGGGTCGCGGAAACAAAAAGAAATCGAAAACCACGGCAAGGAAGACTCACTGGATTACCTTGCTCGATAACGATAGCATCCTCAACTAATGTAGAATAATTATATTCATGGTCCTCGATGCGTGAAACGACGAGATAAAAGTTCCATGTCGGATTCCACGACGAATTATAGATCTGTGAGTCACTGAATCTTTTGTGGAACGGGAGGAAGGTAGGAAAGCTGGAGGAGATGCGCAACATTTCAAATTTAAATAAACTCCCATTAATAATTAATTTCTTTTAATGAAAGAAGTATTGCTTTAACAAACCTGATCGGGATGACCGTTTGAACGTCGAAGAAACGTTTTTTACACGTCGTACACTTTCGTACGCTCGAGGATCCAAGGGCGTCACGGCGATTAGCGCGCGCCGCGATCTCGGCTCGTCATCTCGTTTTCACTCGCCGTCCGAGAAAACAGACCACCCCGAGAGCGCACGGCTGCACTGCTTTCGGGTGGATTTATGCAAATGCATCCAGAGGCGGAACACGCGTTTAACGTCGAGCGACCGAGATCGATGCGTTCCGCGACGATGCGAAACTTTCGTTCGCGATCCGACATATCCTTCGATCGCGTTGTACGCGTCGTTGTTCTGACAACTAAATCCTCTTACTTGTCAAGACGGACTTGTCGAGATGGGGATGAGGTCGCCAAGGAAGAGAGAGAAAGACAGAGAGAATGCGAGAAAATTCAGAATAATTATATAAGCGAAGGCGAGAAAAAAGAATTAAAGATGTGAGATTTCCAACTGAAAGTTAAACATTTTTTTAGATCATGTTAGTCATCTCCGATTCATCAATTTACCTATTAATTAGTTATCTATTTATTAATTTGTAATTAAACTATTTATTACAAGTTTCCTCATAATATTTTTTTTCATGGCATTCCGCTTAAGTTGATTAAAAGTTTGCCTAACTTAGTTTAGTCGTATTGGTTACTTATTACTTTCAAATTCAGTTAATTATTAAGTTATAAATAAATAGATATTAATATACATTAAAGAGAGTTATATGTACGAAAAGAGACGAGCCGTCAAGCTCAGCACACGATTTGAGGGCATAGCTCGACACGAGCACGTTACACAAGAAAAGTCACCGGCGCGTTTTAATGACGCGATTTGATACAATCGATGACCTCGCCGGACGACATTTTGACAAATCTGCGTTTTGACTGCCATTCAGACGTAGATCGCTGTGTGAAACGAGGTCTCACGGAGAAAATTCAACCCGTTTCGCCCATTTTTCCGGCGGATCCTCTCCTCGCCCTCACCCTCGCCGACAAGAACCTTCCTCCCATCGCCGTTCAATCGCGGAAATCGCGATGTACAGATCAACGATTAACTTCAATCGGTCCCATGCGCGAGTCTCGAACGACCCTGAGAAGAGAAAAATGAGAAGAAGATGTGCGCATACGAGACACATGTTTGACTTCCATTCATTCATTTCTCTCGAGGGTCTCTCTTTCTCTCGGCGCTACGCAAAGGTTTATTTCTGTGCTCTTGCGCGAGAGCTGAGCCGGTTGTTCGGCAGGTCGTTAATCATATCAATTCGTCAATGTTCCTCGCGAACAGCGGGCTAATCACGCAATCGTGCTTGTGAGATGCCCGAAAATACCGGCGATCGGCCTCGGAGAGCGCGACGGACCAATTAAGACGCCGTTAAAGAGCGTCGCGCGGACGTGTTGCACACGCGGACGTGGGAGCCAACAAGGGAAACGCATCAGCGAAGCGCTTTCACGAAGGGATAACCGCAGAAATCGGTCTTGCGATCGAATTGCGCGAGTGCGTCGATCGGGCCGATCGTGAAGAGCCATTAAAACGTTGCTCGCGAGAGAGCAGAATCCGCCGTGCTTTATCGCTGATCCGTTAAAAGCCTCCCACGCGCACTCTGGGCGGTAATGCGCGAGGATCCATCGAAGGATGAGGAAGCAAAGCGGAGGATTTTCAAAACCGGTATCGATCGCCGTTTAACCGATTCCCGGCGATCCTCTCGCCGTGTCCGAAAATGCAGACGGGTTGAATCGGGAAAAGATCAAAGAGCGTAAACGAAAGGAAAAGGATCTGTTTGACAATATCAATGGGAGATGACGGAAGCGCAGGAAAAGAGCGGAAGAAATGCGGGAGAGGCCGCGAGGATTCGCGGAAACTCCTCGTTGCGATTAGATAAAAGTTTGCAGAGGCTTGCAAAAATTTATAGGATCTTTAGCGGTGTGTTTATTACTTATTCTTTTTATTATTTATTCTTTATCCTTATTGCTCATTCATTGTTATTTATTCTTGCTGTTGATGCTTCTGATATCGTTATCTATTATTTTCCGCCACCTCTCAAGTAATTGTCTACTTCCGCGTCGACAAAATGGCCTCATCTTTCATGAAAATCAGGGATGAAATTTTCTCTGATGGAATCCTCAACGAAATCTCCTTCCATCCGATTAAATTTTGCCAAAATGACAAATTTTTATCTTGTCTCCGCTCTTAATTCTCGTTCAAAGAGGAGAAGGGGAGGGGGGAGGAAATGGTCCTAAACATAAATCTGACAATAACGCTATATTATAATTATTTATTTATTGAATTGTTACTCCCTTTCTATACACCACCTTCCGCGTAATTGATTTCACATCTATAAAACGGCTTCTTGGAGCCAATAACATTTATTGCGATCCAATTAACTGTTAACCTAAATTTTAATCTCGACTGCACTGCTAATCCATTTCCGTCCAGTTTCCTAAAAATAAAACCGGCAACTATTCATTTCATCTATATATTGAAATGTTATCCACGCTCTACCACCTTTCAAATAATTGACCCCACGTCTGGGGTAAGAGGACCTTGAGCCAATTTGGGTTCCAATGATAAATTTGAATCTCGACCGTCTCTGCTGTTAATTGCACATTTCCGTTCGGTATCCTAAAAATGAAATCCTCAGTAACCCTCGTTTTATCCATTAAATCTTTAAGCACTTTTCGCCACCCTTAAAACAATTGATTCCGCGTCCATCGAAGAACCAATCATCGTTGAACCGATAAAATCGCGACGAACTTTCGCAAGCCTCCGCTGATAAATTATAATTTAATTGACTGCATGTCCTGATTGTTAATAATAACAATCAGAAACCGCCGAATTTCGAGATTTCTCTTTCAGCGGCGCGTCGTGGGTCATGACCCGCGCTTGGAACAAGTCGGCGGAGAGAGAGAGAGAGAGAGAGCGGCTGGAGGAAGCAAGGGACGTAGAAAAATCCTCGAAATTACTGTCTGATCTCGACGCGCATAAATTACCGTCACACACGTCGTCATTTCCGCGGATCACACGTCGAAAGTGAAATGCTCGTCGAGGAAGCGACGACGGTGCTTGCGTTCGCCGGACAGAGAGCAACCGGGCGACCGCGTCGAGGACAATAGGCGACGGCGACGATTCATGAGCGGACTATTCTCTATTCAGAAATTTCGGCGAGCGTCTCCTCCCCCTCCTGCCGCTGCCGCTCCTCCGCCACCCTTGCGCAGCGTCTCACCTGCGCTTCGTCTTCTTTTTCTTCTTTCACCTCCTCCTCCTCCTCCTCCTCCTTCTCCTCCAGCAGCATCGCCACCTCCATCACCTTCCCCGTCGCCGCTTCCTGTGCTCCGCGGCCGAAGACGCTGGACTCAACACGGTGGAGTCAATTAAAAAATCTAGTTCTGCCAATGCCACCGGATTGCGACACGCGCGCTCCGGCGGGGAGGATTCGGCTCCGCGGTATAAAAGGTCGAAATGTCTTCGGGCAGATGCTCAACTCATCGTCCATACGCCATACGGTCAACATGAAGCTCCTCCTGCTCGCGTCCGTGGTAAGAGAGACCCTCGCTTCCGGCTGCCCTCGACCCGCCGAGGAGTCTCGTTTCACGAAGCGACTTCGCCCGCGCGTGTGTCACATCGTCGTCGTCGGCCGCATTCGCGTCTCTCCTCGGGCTGTTTTGAGATTTCTCAACGTTCTTCTTTCTTCTCCCTTTTTATTCTCGGCTTTCGTTTTTCCTTGCATCCGCGAGCCAATCAGGGCATTGTGAAAGCGAGGTGCGCGCGACAGCGGTAGAAAAACTGCGAGGTCGCTTCGTGAAAGTCGACGGTCGAGCGGGCGGTAATTAATTGTTAACTATAAGAACAGATGTTATACATTATTTATGCGTGTATTGTGAAATTTTGAAGAAGAAAGCTGGGCTGTCGCGATCGCTCGATTAGATTGCGCCGAAGAGGAGGATTTTTCGAGTGTGTTGGTTTCGATGGAATAATCGATGAATCGGTTGAATCGTGGAACTCGACAAACTTTCTGTTTCGTCATACAGGTCCATATTAATTAAGTAATTAATTAGTCTGTGATTTGATTGGACTCGTTTCGCGTCTGAGATACGCTCAGATTTGAGCTTAGAGTTTGGCAGACCTCTTGCTGTGAATCTGTGCAGACCTGTGCGTGAATCTTTCCCTCCGGTGCGCTCATGAAAAGTGAATATTTCCAACAGCTTTCGAATTGGAAAATTTGCACTTTCCACGAGTTTTCACTTTGAGCGAAAAAGAATTCTGAGTTTCACGCTCGAATTTTAAATTCAAACGCTTGAAATTCAAATCTCACATAAGAGACAAGTTTCAAGTGATTTCAAGTGATCAAAAACTTCGAAGTAACGATCGTTAATACGAACGAACCATAGTTGTTTCATAAAAAAGAAATCATCATTTTGTTTTATTTTTGCAGTATTATTTATCATTGAGTATCTTTTTAAGATTAATTGATACTAATATTGAGCAAAATGCTCGATAAATCGAGGTGAAAGAATCGAATTGACACCCTGGGAACAGCTGCGTTTAAATTCCGAGAAAGCCTTCGGAGAATATCATTTACGCATGAAACGCTATTATCCCTATGCGAATTTAATTATCGCGTTTGAAATCTAATGACAACTTTTCATTAGATATACGGAAGAGCCTTAGTATATTGTTTTATTCTCTGGGAAACGGATAGAAATTTATTGAAAGTATAAACTAAAAAAGAGACAGGGTTAAGATCAAAACTTATTAATTGTAATAAACATGTCAGTTCTCTCCGACTAAAATTTCTTCCGCGAAGTGCCATTTACCGACATCGCTTCTGCGCTTTGTAACTTTAGTATATAAAATATATAAAACATAACTATCGACACAAAAATCGGCAAAAATCAAAATACTACCTAATGACGCGTAGGAGTCGTTCTACGAAACTTTGCATTTAATTGTCCATTAAAATGCAAATGGCCCCGAACCGATTCCGTAACGACTCGTCCGACGATTCGAAATCGCGTCAGGATGATAAATAAAGATGACCCACGTGTTTGTCAACAAGAAAGCGAATCGATGTAGTAATTACAGCGAAACTTGATGACATATCGAAGTTAGCAAAACAAAACGTGCCAAAACTTGTTCGAAAAATTGAGAAACTTTAATTACTTGTCAGTTTTATTACACACAGTGTAGCTAAGCAAGTTGCGATGATTTCGCTTTCACAGTTCCGAATTCGTCGGCCAAGAATATCGCACCGTCGTCTTTTCACAATTTATGCCACGTTGACGCGCCTCGCGTTGCGTTTGAATTGAATTCGCCACGCTGACCACCTCCTTCATTCATTCTTGCAGATTTGCTTCGCGGCTGTTCTGGCAGCACCGGCTGACAAGGAGAAGAGAGAAATCCTGCCGGGCGATCCACGTTATGGAACCGATCATCAGCACCACCATCATCACCATCATGAGAACGAGGTACAAATCTCGAAATCCATCGGCGGCTATGTAGGTTCTTTTTCGGTACCAGACACAGAGGTCCAGAAGGACTCGTTCCAGGTACCCAAGCCGACCTATGGACCGCCCGACCACAAGCCCGGTAGCCTTATCAACGGCGACTATTCGGCGTCTGACAACAAGGACTCCATCCAGGTGCCGTCCACCTCGTACGGAATACCTGACAACACTCAGGTAGAACCCTAAAGTTCAGTAAAGTCCTGAAGATTCAAGTTCCTGGAAGTTAAAGCAGTCATTCTTGCTACGTTTGGTGGTTGAAATCAAGAACATTGAAATATTTAAAATCTTCTTCATGATTGAAAAGTGTAATTTTTATTTTAGTAATCGGCACTTGATAACTCAGTAATTAATGAAAATATCATTAGTTGTAAATATTGTGGAGTCTTCACAATGTTCTCTATTATTTGATCTTAATTTCTAACTTTGTAATTGATAATTGACACTTCAATAATTTATAATTGATTACTCGATTTTCAAGAAGTCAAATAATATTTTATAAATTTCTTCAATTCAAGTCAATTCGATTCTTAATATAGCAGTTGAAATCCACAACAATCAGAAAAATCAAAATTGTTACAAACTCTCTACTTATTTGTTGCGATAATTACATTGATAATAAACGATAAATAATTTGATAGCCGATAATTGATAATTTAACTTTTAAGAAGTCAAATATATTCGACAGTTGAAAGATCATCAACAATCGTGGAAATTAATATCATCATACACTCCTTGATTATTTAATTACAGTGTCTATTTTGAACAGCTGATATTATTTAACTTTAGTTTCCAATTTCGTCATTGATGACTGATAATTCAGTAATTAACAATTAATAATTTAATTTTCAAGAATTCAATTTTAATAATTTCACTTATAATTTACACATATGTGTTTGTGTGAATTATATTATTGTATAATCAACGCAAATTATTCGCTTCGTTTTAATTACTCTACTAGTATTATTACATTTATATACTTACTACATTATTACATTATTATTGTTACCATTAACTTTTAATTTTAACATTTAACTTTATTTATCCTTTCCCGTTGCAGCTCAACAACTATCTTGCTCCCATTGTCGACGACAAGAAGACAACGCTCCTTAAAGTGACAATTCCTAAGGTATGTCAATCGTATGATCTCTCCGCGATCAACTTTCTACTATCTATTAATCAAATCTATCGAATCTTACTTCGCGATCAAAATGCATTTCGATATGCATTCGATACATCTTGATGATTCATCCTTTTTCTCATCGGAATTGCCATGAGGGATTTAAAAACATTCCGAAGAATATTTGGAAATTGATCATGATAGGATGACAAACGGACAATCGTTAAATTTGCATCCAGCAATAATTTCTCAGCGAGGACGTTTTCGAGTGACTCGCGCGATTTATCAAAAGTTCAGAATATTATTTTCTAGGATCGCTGATTTAATCCGTCAAAACTTCAAGTATAATCATCAGCTTCTTATTCAGAGTTAAACCCTTTAATAATTATTGTCTATAATTATTAATTCGTGTCTACTAGATTGCAATTTACTTTTAAAAATCAAATCCCAAAGCCGCAAACTTTTCCCACTATATTTAAAAGAGTAGTAAACTTCTTAATATCAGTTAATATCAATATCAATCAGTTAATATTAATATTAATATTATTTGTTCTTCCCACAAAACGCACCTTTTTGCAATCGACAGAACGGTCTTGCTCCAGATAACGTTACTCCATCTTTTCCGACTCACCAGTCAGTAATAATTAGTGTTTAATAATAAATTTAATAATGAAATATTTAATAATAAATGTTATGCATTTTTTTCCATCGACACAATCCTTGCTGAAAACTATCTTATCGCATATTAATTAAAGACCGACGTGCGCTTTAACTCCGACCTGAACATCGATTACCAGGCACCGTCCGCCGAAGCGCCCGTCACCTCTTACGGCGTCCCCGACATCAAGGTAAGCACTTCGTCAACGTTGATTGAGTGTGAATCGAAAGCTGCGAGTATCGCTGATAGCAGATAATCACACATGCAAATAATCACACGAATTCATGTGCCACGTGTCACGCTACGTTTTCGCGCTTACGGAGTAAGGAATAAATTTAAATTTCTCAAATCTCATACGGAATTTCCCGTGGAAAAGAAAGACATGTGATTTGTTATCAGTCAAAATTGTTATTCGCATATAAAAAATTCTCGCAGCGTATATACAAGATATTAATATTTAATTTTTTATATCTTTCCTCATCCGGGGTTTTGCACAATCGACTCAGGATCAACTTCTCTCTCGGTGGAATAGAATTTATTTGCATATTTTACGACGTATAAATTTGAAAATTTCTACAACGCTCGGGTGAAAATAGAGTTACGCGAGAGTGTCTTTTTCTAGAGCGTCTAAATACTTTTTCTTAATATCTTTAACAGCTTATTATTTAACAGGGAGTTTTTCGCTTTGTTTCGTGTAATTAATAATTCGAAGAAAGGTCGAAAAAGGTTTTTGTAATTTTTTTCTTTTTGTTACTACACTGTTTTCATTATTAAATTTTTACATTTTTTATTTAATTTTATTTAATTGTAAATTTGCTTGATTAATTTATCCGATATTTTCTCTTAATTCATCTACTAAATGGTTTCGTTCTCTCGGTAGAAACGTCCACCTGTCGCGTCGACGACCCCGGAAAGCAACTGGTCTGAAATACGTATCGAATCTCTTCTTTTCCAGACGATCCACGAGCAGCCGAAATATGAGACCACGCACGTGCACAAGAGCGACATCGGAGTGCCGCTGGTGAAGGTGACGGCGAAGATACCCGAGACCCAAGGTAAGCGCGGACCTATCGAAGGAGAAAGACAGACGATTTATGACGACGATTCGTAGAGAAAAAACACGCGTGAATATATCAAGCTCACGCCGCGAGTTGCGTCAGGATTTCGGAAGTTTCCGTCGTGAATTCCGCCGGATGGCTTCTCCAAGAAAGAAAGAGAGAGAGAGAGAGAGAGAGAGAGAGAGAGAGAGAGAGAGAGAGAGAGAGAAAGAGAGAGAGACATGAATATTGAATTATTCTAACACGCTCGACTAATATGAAATAGCAGAGGCTAGCCGCCCCGAAGATTCGATCGCCTTTCATCGCGGCCACGAGACGAGCGAACGTACATGTGTTACAAGTTCGACGTGAATATTAATTATAGCGCGCGCGACCGAAGGAACACGGTTTCCGCAACTTCGTGATATTATATTCGAGTAGAGGAGGGAGAAAGACAGAGGTGCTTCTGCTCCTTTGCATTTTCAATATTCAGCAAGAGGTCGAACTCGTTCACCTGGCTTGTTGACATTTCACTCTGCAACCAGCTTGTATCCCATTCGTTACCAAATCGCGCGATACCGCATCATAATTCGATTCATCCCGGGTCCTCTCGTTTTCTCCGCGCGTGATCCTCCGAGACTTCGATCTTTTAGACGACTTTTGAAAACGAGAGCCTCCGGCTGTATCGAATACCGTATATAATTCTCAGTCTATTTGTCTTTTTAACTTCGCACGTAATATGGAGAATAATAAATTATACTAATATTGATTTTTTTGCGTTTGAAAGGATCTACCTCAGAGTGCAGAGTAAATTATGCTTCTATCCATTAAAAGCTGTAAAGTGTAAAAGTCACAATTCACATTTCACATTTTTAATGTAAAAATATTTGCAATACTTTTAATTGTTTTAATACTTCTGGCTTTTTATAATTTAATTATTTTATTGTTTAATAATTTGAATATTTTTAATTAAGAGATCAATTTATTTTCTATTTAGAACTCTGGGATTTGCATTAGAATTATTTTGATCGGAGTTGCAGATATAAATGAGAATGTCTGCTGCTGAAAACACTAACATAATAATATTGTACTTAAAATTATTATATTAATGAAATTTATTTATTTCACAAAGATCTTAAGTTACGGTAATGAGATTGTTTTTATAAGAGGCATAAACGGAGAAAATCAAATAATAAAAAAGATGAAATTATACATTAATTAAGTAATTTGTAGAACATTGGAATCTTCATGATTACCTGTACTATTCATCTTTAGTTTTCTCTAATTCCATTATCGGTAATCGACAATCCGACAATTGTTAAGAATGTCAACATTAGATTCTTTGCAATCTCCCCATCATTCAACTTTAGACTTTCTGAATGTCTCACACTGATTCATATCTTTATTAACATTATTTTATTCAACAAAAGAAACATCGAATTAAACTAAATGAGCTAATAATAACAAATAAACATAGAGACACATTCCGACGTCTGATGCACTGCTGTCGCTCACTCGTTCGCGTGTTCCCAGGATTCGCCCATCAGACCATCAGCACGGGTAGTCTGCCCAGCTTCACCTCCTTCAACACCGGTAGCCTGTTGCCTTCCGTGCACTCGAGCTACCCAACGAGCTACACCGCTAACTACCACCAGTCGCTCAGCTCCATTCCCGTCAAGACCGTCGACCACCACGTGCAAGTGCAGGTGCCGCAGCCGTATCCGGTCCCGGTAACCAAACACGTGTCCTACCCCGTGCCGTTCCCGCACGCCGTCGAGGTCCCAAAAGCGTACCACGTGCGCGTGCCGTACCCGGTCCAGGTGACGGTGGACCAACCGTACCCCGTGGAGGTCCCTCGCCCTGTACCCTACCCGGTGCCGCAGTACATCCGCACGAGCCTGCCGCAGCCGCAGCTGCGTCTGCAGCAACAGCACCACGTGGTCGACACAGTGAAGGCCAACCCGATCCAGAGCTTCTTCGAGAACACCGCCTCCACGTTCCAAGACACCATCGGCAACCTGCCGAGCTTCACGAATCCGTTCCAGAACTTCCCGAACCCACTGGAGAACTTCTCGAGCCTCTTCGAGAACTTCCAGATACCATCCATACCGTCCCTGCCGTCCCTGCCGTCCTTCACGCCCTCCCAGTCGACCCAGGCGCCCTCAGCGCCCGTGGCTCCCGTGGTTCCCGTGGCTCCCGCGGCGCCCACTGCCTCCGGCTCCGAATCGAACGGCGCCAGCTTGTCCTTGCCGACCGCCAATGACGCTGTCACCATCGAGAACCCGATCAAGGAATCCATCAGAAAGCCCATCATCACGCCCATCCAGCCGTACAGCGCAAAGTCGACGCAGAAGGAGTACGTGCAGCCGATCGACGACAACGGCGGCTACGTCTATTAGGGGAGACTTAGCACACCACGACCTGCGCGCCATTGAACAACTCGTCTAGCGAAGAAACAAAGAAAGATACGTTCGCCGAGATCGGGGATCGCCGCTCGCGCTTGCCTTGCCGCGTCGCCTTGACGCGATCGTTTGTTCTTCGAGTATCAGCTACCGATCGAGGAGCTCTTTCGTCCTCGTTTGGGGTCCTTTAGGGCCCTCAGCTGCGCCCGAGATTCGTAGATTTCGCACAGTTGGGCCCGGCATATATCAAGCACTTTCTTCAAGTTAGACCTTGTAGGGGGAGAAAGGAAAGAAGAAACATGAAATAACGGACTCTTTGATTCTTACCACATGAAATGATGAAATGAAATAACGGAGGACGTAAGAAGAAGAGGAAAACCAGACGGGTTGTCTCAAAGCGAGTCTCAAAACAAGTCGAGTCTGTACGTGTTTATAATTCAGCTGCATGATCTAATTAGTCTACGTTTAACGCCCTTCTGGAAATTTGTCTTTCACTCTAAGCAGCAATGTTCCTCTCAACAAAAGTCCGCATTTAGGCGCCGCAACTTGGCGCTTGATCTTCACTCGACCGGGTTTTCCCGAATAGATCCACCTCGATCTCGAGAATAAACGAGAAAAGAACGGATGACCTCCGACCGACCTCGCGCTCCGACCTCAGCACGCCGCGCTAGTCTCATGCAATTTCGCCGGATCTCTAGATTCGTCAAGGATTTGACAATCGCTCGTGTACCAACGAGTACACGCGAATTTTCCCGAGATTCACGAGGCAGCGAGCGGCCGAGATGTGAACGAGAATCGCGAGGCGAGACGGATGGAGCTGATTGTCGAAGCGACAGCTTAGAGCGTTAGAGAGCGACCTCGGATCTCACGCGGCTCGAACGGCGATGGGGACGTCTAGAAGGAACGTTAGGGAGGACTTTAATGATAGGAGAGTTAGAGAATATTTTTTGTACGTAAATAAAGTTCTTTTATTACAAACATCATCGGAACCGCTCTTGGGTTTCTCTTGGACGGGGTGCGCCATCTCATCTCTCGATGCACTGCAAGTCCAAGTGTGTTGCTTTCGCACGCGTGAGCGTGTGATTTGGCTGGAGGTTCTCTCGTGGAGATTACAATTTAACACAATTTAATGTAATAAACGGTAGCTTTTAATAGTAGTAATAGTATGTGTAGTAAACTTAATTTAACCTCGCAAGAGATCGTTTTCGAAGCAATCGGTGGGGAACGTGAAAAGAGAGCTCCAGCCAAAATAACACGCACTTGGATTTAGAGCGTGTGTGTCGGTGCGGAAAATATTATTCAATATCCAGTTCCGTCGATCGCGCGGCGATCGCTCGATAACAATAATGTCAGCTGTCGCGCAGCTTGTGCGCGAAGGTCCTTTAACACGTTCATTGTCAGACTGAAAATTTGAATTTCGTGTGGCGGCCAAAGTTATTTTTTCTTTTATTTATTTTTAGTCGTTTTTTTGCACGATTGAACTGGCATTGAACTGAGTCTTTTCGAGGGTCCTGGTTTGTCACTCATAATAAAAAATAATCGCATAAACGGCCGTTTGGTGAGAGGCCGCCACGCGCGATATCGCGTGACCGACAATGAACGTGTTAAAAGTTCGTTTGCCATTCGAGCGTTCCTCTCCCTCATTCTCTCTAAATTTCTTCGAGTGAAATTCTGCTCGGAAAATAAAGTGACAGCCAAATCACTTGAATTCGAGTTAATTTTTACACGTGCAGAGTGAATTTCCTCCGCTCGAAGTTTTTATTTGAGTGAATGTTTCCACTCAAATGTTTTCATTCATCTTGGAATTATCTACTTGTCTATTCAAGTTGAAGAGTGAGCTTCTGTCTTTCTCTTCCTCTCCGACTCCGAGAATCCACTCTAAATTAAAGTTAAACATTCATTCTTGCGACTCCGAGCGGTAATATTCGTACTATCGCATAAATTTCATCCTGAGAAATTTAAGAAATTCCCCGATTGGGAGATCTCTTCGAGGTCTCCGCGTGTCTCGTCGAATTTCAAGGTGAGTCGAGTCAATCGACTTAACATTTTTAATTGAAGCTAATCACAGACATACAAATTTGACTAGAGAAATTTGGTTCCTAAGGTCAGTCTCACGCGCGAACATCCATATTTCCCGCGAATATTCGGATTTTACGCGTAAAACTTTCGTTGGCTAAAGTCGACTGAAAATTCTGCTTGACTACCGAAATGAAATAAAGAAAATTAACATCGAGTAAATCGTGCATTACACGTGACGATTGCTTCAATCGTTACTTCGATTTGATTGATTTGCTTGCGCACCGATTAATAATTAATTTAATCGATCGACCGAAGCACTCATAATTGCATGTATCATGACTGGTTAATTTCGACTCGCCGATTGTTTCAACCAAGATTTTCTCGTCGATTAACACCCAACGTCGTCGTGAGTTTCCAGCGACGAGCGAGCAACAGCGACGTAGCTTCGTTGTGCCGAAACGTCGAACTGTCTCTCCTCGATCGAAGCAGCCGTCTACCATATGTGACATTTCTTCTGCGGGTTCATGTTCGACCCCACCGGGCACTTCCACGCGTCGCTGAACTCTTTAGAGTTCCTTAGCACCGCTTGAAGTCTCACGTGGCCAGGACAATGCGAGTCCTCCAGCATCCATTTGAGCGAAGTGGCCGTGTAAGACTCGCACCACAACTGAAATCACAAGCGGCCACGCACGTTCACTCCTATTCTCCTTCTTACGAAAGAATCTATTTTCAATTGTATTTGCTCGACTTCGAAATTTCTTCGGCTCAATCCGATGTCGAATGCGAGATGTAAACATCTGAGCGAACGAGATGTTTCAAGGTCGCAACAGGCGGATGCGAGGCATTCCGAGCACAAACGAGATAGGATACAAATCGTATTTTTCCTCCGTCAATCCTGCCGTCCTTAAGAGCCTTAATTTATTGCAACTTACGGCTGGGATTAGTGGCGATATGGAATAAACAAGAGTCATCCTTCTCGGAACGAAGGTCGACCACTATGCAACGAATTTCCAACCGATTCTTAAATATGACTGCGACGCACGGGAGGATACGAATCGGTATGAATCCTGGAAAGTCCGACGCTCACCGAATTGCCGAGGAATCGCGATTTAAGAATACTCTCGACGGTTATTAGAGAAAAAAAAGAAAGAAAACTGGATAAAAATCCGACGCACGAACGGTGCCGTTCGTCTCAAAAGCTTCAAACCCGACAGTCGACTGACAGCCGGTCAAATTATCCTAAATAGAGCGGGTCGCATGAGAGCACCTCTTCAAGGCTGTCGGCGATTGGAAATGCTAAAGATAGCCGAAGAGTGGAGCCGAGGCCGAAATTCAACGACCGACCGACCGACCGACCGACTGATATGTAATTTAAACGACATCGTCACGCCGCGGCGAGATGAATATGCCGTTACATCATAATTGGAGAACGGAGCCGTTGCCTTACGTGCGCGTAGCCGAGGAAGAACAGCTGCTCGTGCGTGAGCTCTGTGAAACCCGGAAGAAGGGGCTCCCGACCGTGTCTGGCCTTCCATCTCTTGTAAGCGATGACGGCCTCGCGGAGGCCGCCATTATCGGCGATGTTCTCGTCCAAGGTCAGCTTGCCGTCGATGTAATCGTCAACCTGTCGATCGGATGACGTATTATTAGCTCAAGAGCTCTGGGCTCTCTCGGTTCGTTCAACTCTCGCTAAAGGGGACGATCCTCGCGTAATCCTCGCTCTCTTTGATGAGGTAATCGCGACGGATTAACTTATTAATAATACATAAATCGTTCGAGAAGACGCAAGTCTCCGCGAACTTCGAAAGCTTTGACGTAACATCTCGGATAGAAAGAAATGTAAATGAAGGCTCGGTAAAATGAAAGGATACACTGACTTTAATAAAGTGAAATGAAATGAAAGTAAAACGACGTTTGAAAAAGTGTGGGGAAAAAGATTTTAGAAGAAGTATGTGGAAAAGATTTTCACTGTCGAGGGAATGGAATTATTCATGAAATTTTGTTCACAAATCCATCAAAGCAAAATATGTTTAAAATAAAAATGGAAGCAACAAAAAATGAAAGTAAAAGTTACAAATAAGACAGTAAAATTTCTATAAAATGATGCAAAATCGGAGTATTAAAAAGATTTAATTTGAATTGCCGAGGACATATCTAGCAGGATATCGCGCTGCTCCTTCTTGGACCTTTACTTGTAAATCTAATAAAATAAAAAAAAAGAAGCGAATGCGAGAGAGTAACAAAATAAAAGTAACCAGATGATATAACATTAAAACGGAGCAATAATAGAAAGATTTAAGAATAAGATAGAATAAAATAAAATTTTCGAGAAGAAATATATATGTTTAGCGAGAGAGATGGTGTTTTCTTAAGATTTATTAGATATTTTATATTACATCGAAAAAATCTGCGTTTTCTCATGTAATGCTAAAATATCAAGTTGTATAATTTTTCTGATTTCTCCCAAAACTGCAGTTTTGCGAAAACACATTTGCTCGGTTTAATTAAATCGCTCGATGCGCTCACCTCATCCTCATAATACGTGTTGTAATGATCTATGAAGCATCGCGTCCGCTCGGTATACTCCGTGATGGTCTCGTTGCTCCACCACTGCCGCACGTTCCCGTCGCTGTCATAGTGTCGGCCACTGTTGTCGAATCCATGGGTCAACTCGTGGCCGAGGATGGAGCCAATGGCGCCATAATTCAGCGCCCTGCAATCGAGATCGTTTCGGTGAGCGCGAATCAGCAAGAAGGAGCACCGACTACAATTATTCGAAAAACTGCTCTTTCTTTGTTTTTATCTCTGAGCATGCTGCCTACTTCTGGAGATAATCGCGAAATAATTATTCCTATTTTCTTACTCGAGACCCAATTCATAGAACGGGAATTGCAGGATTCCGGCAGGCACGGCTGCGTGTGAATAACGGAAGAAAAGAGAATATATTAATACAGGATAAGAAAATGGGGCACAACTGAGAATTTACCAAATAAACGGAATATCAGCAACGTGCTACATTTGCATCGATCTTGAATTAATCCTTCGTACACTATCAGGCTTCACCGGTTGTAATTTTTCTCTTGAGCACTTTCAACCGCTATTGATATTTTATGATTTTTATTTTTCTTATTAATCCTATTCAGAACGCAGAAAAAATTTAATTACTTTTTTCTTTTTGAATAAAATAAATAATTCTCCTTGATTATTTTATATCACAATGGATACTAAGGATTAATTTCATCTCGATTTTTGGTAGCGGGATAAGCAGAAGTAAAGAATAAATAACGTTAGACTCGGCGAAGTATCAAAACGAAAAATATAGCGTGAACGGAAATTACGAGTTCATCGTGTTACCAATGCTGTTAAATTCGTGCACACACACACACACACATGCACAAACAGACGCGCATGCACGACTCCATCTACGACGAGGTTAATTCGATACATACTGATTTGATTGTCTTGAAAAGCATGGTAGGCATTAACGCTGGTAGGATAAATCACCCAGCTAATTATCCATAACGAGGCGCAACGTGAGGAAAGACAAGACTTTAGCGCGATAAGACTTCGCCAGCGATTTGCGATTTGCGAAAATTTTATACTTACAACGTTTCGTTGCCCAAATTAACCTCGTGCAGCGACGATAACGTATTGTTCCACGCCAGTTCCACGATCTGCACCATATTCTCCAGGTACCTTGTCTCCGAAAAGTCTATCTGAACGTCAATAAATCGATATGTCACTCTCTTCGTCATCTCACAAGAGGGTTAACAATAATAATAGCGACTTTAACTTCAAGTGACTTTAATTGACTTCAATTTTAACCAAGCTGCAAAGTGAGCCAAGCTGACCTTAATTGAAATGTTAACTTGAACAAATGAAGAAAGTAACCGTAATTGAAACTTAAATTCGAACTTTAACTAGTTGGAAGACTAAACCACAATTGAAACCTTAACTTGAAATTTAGCTAATTATAAGCAAACTTTAATTGAAAATTGAGCTTCAACTTGAATTAATCGGGGGGCTAACTTTAATTGAAACATTAATTTTAATTGATTATAAAATTCACTTTGATTAACTTCTCAACTTTCATCGATGAAAACCGACGAGAGGAAAAAGACCAAATTTAATTATGCGAGACTCACGCCCTTGTAGTACTCATTGAGCTTCTTCTCGTCGAAAAGCCACTCAGGAAATCCGATTTCGGACGTCATCTTCCTGCTCTTCTCGAGCGTCACGGTTTTCGTCTGCGTGTCCATCCAGTCCGTCCCGCTGACCAACGAGACGAACGCCTCTCGTATATCCTCCAACATCTCGAATACTTTGCGAGCCTTATTATTGTGAAATGTCGGATCTATGAACAGCCGAGACACCGCTATTCCTGGAAACCGACGAAGGACAACACCCTTCATTCCAAGCGAAACCCGTGCGCCTCTCGAGATATTGAGAGGGAATTTTACTGCTATACCCTTCTCTCGATACAATGCAAAAAAATTTGAGCTTAATTTCGATGTATAATATAACAATCACTTGTTATCGCGTGAAGTGGAATAAATTGATTAACCAGATAGATAATGGATTAATTAAATATAGATAACGCAATAATAAGAAGCATGAAAGAATTAAATGGAGGATAAATCAGCTAACAATTGAAAATTAACAATAACTGCAAGTGAGATTAAAAGTCGAGAAGAAATTTACGTTGAGAGAGATAATTAACTCGCTCGCGAGGAAAATCTTAGACCTCAAATATAACTGATTAAAGATTCGGCAATTGATTCGGCTTCGATTCGATAACAATTGATTGGCTCACATACATGTGATAAGAATTAGTCTTGGAAATGACACTTTAACTTTTGACAGCCCAGAGAAAATAAAGACGAAACATTCGTCATTTAAGATCGACCTGATTAACTTGGTCCAAGTCAATTTGGAAATTGAATCAAGGACAAACGTAGCGAGACGTGCATACCCATGAGTTGATTCACATCCGATGCGCAGCACAGAGATTTGGACTCGGCCACTTCTATATCCGTCACCTTGTGAACATACGTCATCCAGACGTTCCTCAGCTTTTCAGAACAATGGGGCACCACCATGTCCACGACTACCCACCAGATGCAAGTTTCTATACGAACAGGTATTCGCGTTAGGCGACCGATCAAACAAAATGTGCCGTAAAAAATCAAGTATAAAATTAACTGATCTTACGTGACTACCTTAAATAAAGGAATTAACTGTAAAAAATGAAAGAATGAATTATTCGATAAAGTAATTAACTAAATAGATAATAAATTGATTAGATAGATAACTTAATAAACAATAAGAAAAACAAGACGGATCTACCAATAGTAAGAAATTATTATTATTGCAGGAAACAGTAATAATGTGAGATCAGATATCTTAGAAAGGTTGAGACAGCGGCCGAGATGAGATCAGAAATTAAAGATAAGGAATTAACGTATCGGTGATTAATAGGCAAGAAACATTTGTACCGAGTTCTCGCTCTTCGCCAGCGGCGAATATCAACGCAGCGTCCTTCAAGAATTCCAGATTGCCGACAAGAACTCTGTCCTTCTTGTCGAGATCCAGCGAAGTTATTCCCTTGAAAACAGACTCGATGAAGGGTCGCCAGATTGGTTTGGGTGTCAGACTCAAGTTAACGCTCATCACATACTCGTCCGTCAAACGTTGCAGATCGTCCACCAGCATATAATCCTCGTCGCTCAGGTTATCCTCGGAAATGCTGTAATTCTGATTAATGCTAACCATCTGCGAGAAGAGCAAATTTTATTTTCTTTCATTCGATCGTCGTTTTATGAAGATTTTGATAAGCCTTTCCAAAGTTACTATTTTAAAATAGCAATTCCAAAAATATCAAATTGAAAATAGAAATAGAAGAAAATAAAAAGATAAAAATAAATATTTTTCACATATGAGTTTTACAGTTGAACGTCATCAAACTTTAAATATTTGCTTTTACATGTTCTTAGATAATTTTTTTATTTTGTTATAATCTTTCGTTCTTCTCTTATTTTGTCTTTTTTTATTCTATCTTGTTGTCTGCACTGATATTGCAAAGTCAACTTAATAACTAAAAAGATAATAATAATAATATCAAATTAAATTAGCTCCGATTTATTTTATAATGTAATGTAAAGAAATATTGAATGTAGTTTCCGGGTTGGAGAGGGGAAACTTCATTTTTTTTTCTTCTAGATTTGTTTCTCCAACGTTTCGTAAATATTTGTTTACTTTATTCGGGGAAAAAAACCTGATATTTATTTGTTTTTAATTTTGTTGTAATCAAAAAAGACGATTTCTCACGTAATATATCGTGCTACTAATTTCGTAGAGATCCTCGATAAGGACGTCGAGCTCCTTCGAGAACATGGTAGTGTTATCCTCCGCGATGCAAGCGTCCATGGTGTCGTTGCTGATGACTAGCTTGATAACTTCTCTTATGTAGGCTAATTCGGCCTCCTCGTCCTCGGTGAACGTCGATTCATCGTCCATGTCTTCCAGTTTTCTCAATCGCAATTTGACGGTCTGCAGCCGTTTCTCGAGTTCTTTATTGCTATCGTCAGAGGAATTGTTATCAATTGCATGTTTAAAACAGATGGAGTCGAGTGAAATGATCGAGAAACGAATGACCGAGAACGTACGAGATTTCTCTAGATAACAATTTCACTTCGCACACGCCCGAGTGAGCTCACGTATAAAAGTTAATTATATATTACGAAACAATCGTGTGAACTCGTAACGAATGATAATTCGAGGCTAGCAATTTACTATTTGGTATAAGCAAAGTAGAAAAGCAAAAGAACTCTGATTAGATGTTTTATCTACGCTCTGAAATTTCTCGCAGAAGATTGCAGAAATAATATTCAATTCTTCATTTAGAGCATCGTAAAACGCACTGAGGAAATTTTTAAATTATATTATTCTAATTTAATTATATTAAAGTACTCTTCGTATCTGAACAATGAATATTTTCCTCATGCAAACTTTCTTAATAAAACGTCATCGAACTACAAATATTTCTTTTTTTTGCACTTGTTCTTAAATGTTTTTTTTTCATCACTTTCTTCCTTCTCTGATTCTCCTTCTTTATTTTACTCTGTGATTTGCGTGAATAATGTGACATCAATCTCAAAAGCATTAATTAATTTCGTAATTTTCAATTTATTAATTAATTAATTTTGTGTAATTTTGCTCTCGAAAAACTGATTTCCTGTTAAAACAAACTCCTGTTAAACTGTTAAACTGATTTCCTGTTAAAACTCGAAAAATTGCTTTCCTCTTAAAACAAAAGTATTAACAACAATCACAATGACGATAATAACAATAATAATTTCAGAGACTCGATATAGAAATTCGTACGTCGGGAAGGGGCTGGTCGTGTCTGGAGTGTCGAGGAAGATCACGTTTCTGCTCTTATTCCTGGGATCGGGCATGACCTCGAGACCGAAGAAAATGTCGCGGCCCAGAATTCTCTTCAGGTTGGCCATTTGCTCGACGTAGTCGCCCGTCTTATTGCTGAGCATCGCCGGTATCAGTGGTATATCCAGCAACGTCAGCAGGTCGAACAGTGGCGACAAGCCCAGCTCGTCCATCGCCTCTGAAATTGCGTATTCTCGCTTACTACGAGACACTCCCGCGACCAGAACATCCGCAAGTCGCAGTTGCGAGCTTTCGTTTGAGGTCTAAGGTCTTGAATCTCGGAGCCAAGTCCCGCAATTCCGACCGGCCGAAAATCGCAGGAAAGCGAGGAAAAGAGCAGAAAGAAACGGCAACGTACGCACGTCCATGCAGCTGGTGAACAGCGTCTTCGCCTGCCACACCGCCCACGGGTACTCGCTGGCGGACACGTTCATCTGCAGCAATTCCCGGATCTTCCTGGACACGCGATCGGCGCGTTCGTGGAACCACGTGTTCGTCATACTGGAGTCCGGAATGGGATGCTCCTCCGGCCACCTGCCGCACGCGTAACTGGAAGAGATTCCGCGATGAATACGACGGCGACGAAGAACAAGTAGATTCGGGAATCAATCGGTGCGACTCGCTCGATCAGTCACGTGCGCGACAGCACAAAAATTTACACTGAGAAAATATATCCTTAAGAAGATACGTAAAAACGTACTGACACGTAAAAACAGTGGTAACACTTTCTTGAAGGATCCCACAATTTGTTTCAAGTCACACACGCAATCGCGGTCGAAGATAAAATAACTTTTTCATTTTATTCACATCGTAAGTGCACAAATTTAGTTTTAATAGATAGTTGTAATAGATAGAATTATTATAAGCAAATAATTTCAGTATATATAAGCGTACTATATTTATTAATACAAATGAATAAACCTAGACGTAATTGCACATTATAAATATACACTGAGAAAAAATTGTATTAAAATTAAACAAATATTTGTTCGAACACGACTGTGAATACATTTATTTAAATTAAGCAATTATTTTCTAAAATTCAAGAAAAAAGTTTACATTCAGAGAACCTCTGTTCATTTCATTTTAGAAATTAGTCGCTTAATTTGAGTAAATGTATTCACAGTCATATTCGAACAAATATTTGTTTAATTTTAACGCAATTTTTCTCAGTGTACAAATAGAAATATTGTATATAGGTAAAGAATAATAAACACGCGAAAGCAAATTATTTTTATAAACGAAAAGTACATATGACACGTATAAACACAAATGTATATATAAAACAAATACGTGTGTGTGTATGTGTGTGTGTGTGTGTGTGCGTTTAATGTAAGAATGAAGAGAAATACGATATAAGTCGAACGTAACACAATACGTCGCTCGCTCCACTCTACGGACGGAGTGCAAGTTCCGATTTCGCTCGCGCCTCACATTACCTCGCGGAAACGAAACGAATTTTCCCGCGGTGTTCCGTCGCAAAGTTGGGCCTACTGGAGCAGTGAAATCGCATCAATTTGCAGAACGGTGTTTTTGCACAAGCGAAGTGAAAGTCAGACGCGGGTGCGATATTTGCGTAAAGCTAAGCGATATCCGCAGCGTGCGTGGAATTTCACGTGCATCCGGTGCATCACGGCCGGTCTACTCACTGATAAAAATCGTCGCAAGGATCTACAGAGGTGTCCATAGACTCCTTCAAACTAGCCGCTGAACAAGTGAACAAAGAGATCGTGTGTGAAAAGTCATTCTCGACGCCAAAACGACGATTACTATGTATTTTTCTCTACGCTATTCCGTCTCTCTTTTTTCCTCCTAGCGCGGGACGTTAATTCGAGCACAACAAGCGGTTCATCGTCGCACTCACCTACTCGCACGCAATCCTCGTTGTCGCATATCCTCATCCTGCCGGCGAACGCATCTGCAAGAACGCGCGATCAATTCGATTATCTTCGATGTATATCGCGATTTGCATATCTTACAACTTGCATATTCCAAAGGCGCTCGTCGGAAAAGCCGGAAAATTTTCATTTCCGATTCGTGTATACCTTCCGCAAAATCGCTCTTCACTCACGTGAAAAAAAAAGAAGTGACCGAAAAGAAATTCCGATGGGAATTCCGCAGGAGAGTTCAAGTTCGTCTGTTTATCAGAAAGATACACGAAATGCAGAATGCCGGAAACTTCCGACGGTTAATCGCGCGCGAGCTGAAGGTGACGGTTAGGGTGGGATTACGATGAACTTTATGTAACAGGACGCGACAGGAGGTGAAGTGACGTGACGTGAATTTGACATTTGAGGTTATGTTAGTGTGAGAGATATTTTTCGAAGAAGAATTCAGTTTGGCGACGGGCATAACCTGGTGGAAGAATTCCGTTTTTGAAAGTGTCACATGAACAGTCCGACTTGACGGAACATGACATCTAAACTTGACATTGGCAAGCTTCATGTCGCGTTAAGTTCTGATATTTTACATCACGTTTACGTAAAGTCGATCGTAATTAGCCGCATATACTAGGTGCGTAACTAAGTTTCCGGGCTTCACACATGGATGACGCTAACGACAAATGTAGTCGACATACATGTCTGAAGTTGTGTTTTTTTATAGCTGGACATCTGTTAACAATAACCAGTCGTAATACCAACGCATATCGCAACGCAAAAATATTTTTTCTAACAACGAAGATGTCGAGTTTTATGGCAAATAAACAGCATTTGCGGGGGAAGCTTTGCTTTTCTGATTTAACTTGAAAGAAAGCGCAGCTGAAGCACGTCGTTCGCTTGAGGAGGCCTACGGCGAACATGCACCATCGAAAACTACCTGTGAAGATTGGTTTAAACGCTTCAGAAGTGGCGATTTCGACACTGAGGACAAGGAGCGCTCCGGAAGACCAAAAACAAGCCGGAGGACGCCGATCTGCAAGCGTTATTGGATGAAGATGATACGCAAACACAAGATCTTGCGGAGCGGCATTAAACATGACTCGCCAAGGTATTTCCAAACGTTTACATGCCATGGGAAAAATGCCATGGGAAAAATGCCATGGGAAAAAAGGAAGGAAAATGGGTGCCGCATGAGTTGACTGAGAGACAGATGAAAAATCGAAGAGCCACTTCCGAAATTTTGCTTTTGCGGCATGAAAGAAAGAGTTTCCTGCATCGAATTGTTACTGACGATGAGAAGTGGATACATTTCGAGAATCCTAAACGCAAAAAATCGTGGCTTTCACCTGGCGAAGCATCAACATCGACGACACGGCCAAATAGCTTCGGAAAGAAGACAATGCTCTGCGTTTGGTGGGACCAGAAAGGAATCGTGTACTATGAGCTGCTGAAAAGAGGCCGGGCGAAACTGTCAATGGGCATCGCTACCGACAACAACTGATCAATTTGAACCATACATTGCTCGAAAAATGGCTAGAATGGGACACGAGACACGAACGAGTGATATTGCAGCACGATAACGCTCCGTGCCATCGCACTTCCATCGTCCAGGACACCATCAAAACGCTGAAATGAGATCTGCTACCACACCCGCCGTATTCGCCAGACCTGGCCCCTTCCGATTATCTTGTTCCGGTCGATGGCCAAGCCATGGCTTGGCTGGGCAACACTTGGCCAATTTCGAAGAAGTGCAAAATTGGTTGGATGAATGGTTTCGGTCCAAAGACGCGTCGTTTTATCGTCGCGGTATTCATGTATTGCCAGAGTGATGGCAAAAATGTGTAGCTAGCGAGGGACGATACTTTGAATAAAGCATCTTTTGTATTTCTCTTGAAATTTTCCATTTTTCATTGATCAAAAAAACCCGGAGACTTAGTTGCGCACCTAGTAAAACAATGTGTTTTAGGTTTTGTGTCACTTCACGTCCCGTCGCGTCCAACGCTAAGTTCATCGTAATCCCGCCCTGAAGCTGTTTGGCGGCGAGGCCAAATTGGAAGCTGCGGACGCGGAGAACATGGAACACGATGGGCTCGCGAATTAATTTCATCGGCGGTCAAGCCTGGGGACAGTCTGTGGACGTAACGTAACAACGAAAAGCATGCCTCGCGAGCGCACCGTCGTGCGAACCCTAGCATGCCTGAAATATTTACACGTAAATCCCCGCAATGTCAATGCCGCGATCGAACACGCTAAATGGTCTTCCAATAATTTTCCAAGGATGCGCACATAACATAATCGCCCCCGACTAACTGATAAAGGAGACGTATCGCTGTATCGCGGGAATGAAGTTGAGTCATCGCCGTCTACGCAGCCGTTTCCGGCTATCGTAGCTGTTATCAAGTTATACGCTCGATGCAATACTAATGAAGTTCGCTCCAAGTTGAAGGATTCGCGGACAACTCTGTTCAACTCTGCGGACGCTTTTGCCTCGTGTTGTCGTGAACTCCCTGATATGGAGGTATTCAGGGGGTAGAAAGTTGGAAGGAGGCAGAGAAGCAACCCTTAAGAAATATCGGTTGAGAAGAACCAAGTCTTTTTAGAGTAGCGCGAATGTTGGCGCACGTTTATTTACAGCGTAAAATTTACATCAAATTGATTAATCGAGCAAATAAAGTGATCGAGTTAAATTTAAGGAAATCTACAGAGCCTAAATTGTATTCTCGTGGACTCGCAAATTGACGAGAATGAGAATTCGGAATGAGAAATTTGCTCGATAAGAAAAGCAACTGAAGAAACTGTAAGACTGTAGAAAAAAATATAGTTTAAAAAGACTGAAGCGTGTATGATATAAATGTCTTCTCGATCAACAAAGAGTTGATCTAACCGCACAATGCGATTTTATCTCTACATTTGGAATTTGGTGAATCAAACGCGGCCAATGGTGTGTTGAGTAAGCTTTACGATTGCGGGATCGAGCAAATTTTGGGCTGTTTTGCGCGAACGAGAGATTAAAGGAACAACAAAACTGAAAACGGCCCTGACATTGAATTTGTTCAGCTTAATTCGAGTTGCTTCGACTGATTCTTCTGTCGTTTTATAAATCTCCTTTATCAATTAGCCGAATTTTCGTGGTTCGACGATGATCGACCTTGAGTGTGCGAAAGGACTTACAGAGCACCGCGAGCACCACGACGGTGATCAGCAAGGAGACCACCAGGAAAAGTAGAATTATCACCGTCAAGTTGGAGATCTGAATCTGCTTCTTGAAGCTGCAAACACGACGGAATCGAATAATCGCCAGGCCTGAATCTAGTATTAACAGTTTCGCGGCGTGCTAATGAGAACGCCGATTGGATTCAATTTCAAGCAACGTCTCGGTGTCGGAGAGAAGTGAACTTTCGCGCGAGCGCGCACGTGCGTCTACTTACTAGCTTTGTCGGGACCTTATTGGCACCAGATTCTTGTGGCTTCCGACCGAATAAATGGAACCATCCTCCTCTGAGAGAAACCAAAATGCAAAAATTGTGCATGAAATTCACAAGCCATCGTCGAAAAAGCATCGCGACGTCGCGACGTAAAATGTCTTGGAAAAGACGGCATTCAATTGCATGAGTCGTGTTATTATTTAATTATATTATTGACAATATTATTAATTATATTGTAATTGTGTCACTCAAGTTAAATCGTATTTCTCTGGTAAAATATAATATCTCGAGAAAAATCGACGCGCGTATATTCTCCAATTATACACCCAGCATTAATTCGTTACCCAATTATATTAATTAATTCATACTGGTAGTAGAATGTAAAATCTAATAATAAATATTAATAAAATTAACATGCGCGTTCTAATGCTAATGTTGCAAGGGAACGTTAAACGCGATTATTTGAAACGGAACGGCGAAATTATCCACAATGTCGCTTGTCATCCTTGGAATTAGAAAACAAAATGATGGAAAAGATCGCTGCGGTGGAAATCAAACATTATGATCAGTATTCTTTGCTCTTTTCGAAACTGCGACATTTTCCGTATGAAATTACCGAGCGTCCTACATTCATTAACGCAGTCTTCTATTTTATTCGCACAGACTGATTTCGTGATCGCGCCGTCAAAATAAGATCACCTGCACGTCCGACGGACTATCGAAGGCGGAAGCGCCATTAACACGCTAGAAACTCGCGGAAACTTCCCGGCGCTTTTGTCGACTTTGCAACTTCGATATCGCGAGAAATATCACGGGAGAACCGGTTACGTGGTGTACGCTGCGTAGCGAACCGCAAAAACTAGAGAGAGAAGGAGGGAGAGAGAGAGAGAGAGAGAGAGAGAGAGAGAGAGAGCAAAGGAGGGTGGCGTAAAAATACACTCACTGCGCTCGTTGTTCATGCTGAATGGCCCACTGACCGGATCGAACTGACGACACTGAACACACCGTCGTCGCCGGACAACCGGGTGTCCACGTTCACATTTTCCTGGCCAGTGGTTCTCGTGCGTCGAACCGGCCGAACGTCAATTTTCCCATCCGCGCGAGAACGCCCACGCCCACAACGGAGCGACCGCACTGGCCACTCGGTATCTTCCACCATCGGCGGAACTTCAACCCTCTCGGTGTCATCGGGACACGTACGCACGCCGAGAAATATTCAAAGGACTCTAGCTGGTGTGAACGAACGGTGTGAGAAACGCCAACCGAGAGTGACTTCCGTGGGCGAAACGTGGGAACCTGCGGGTCCCAGTTTCAGATGTGGACATATTGGTCGCCGCAATCGATCTCAGGAGAAGGAAATCGAGCGGAAGTTACGAAGAACATTCCGCGATGTGAAAGAGTAAAAAGTGGAGAGAGAACTCCGGGAATTACGTAATTAGAAAATAATAAGTAGGATAAGTAATAATAAGTAAGAAGAAACGAGTAAAATAAGCATAACAATAAGTCAAAAGTAATAAGTAATTAATTGGGAAGAGTAAAAAATTCTAAACAATAGGAAGGTTAAAATTGTGCGATGATAATTCCGTAATGTCTAAATACGCGAGCAAAACGAAAGAAAACTCCAGGAAATTATACAATTAGAAAATAAGTATACAATTAATAAGGACGAAATAATCAGTAGGATAAAAATAACAATTGAAAGATAAATATAAAGTAAGATAAATATAATAACAAGTTAGAAGTAATAATTAAACAAAAAAAGAAATTCCAAGAAAGAAAATTGTGAAGAATGAAGAGATTGAAACTTTTGTCGAAAGAAATTGAAGTGAAGAGTTTTAATCACGCAGTCGGGACCTTTCGAGAAGTCAACTTTTAACGAGTCAACTTTTATTATTTTTAATTTATTGTAAGTATCGCAAGAGTCCAGCGAACTCTCTCCAAAAAGTTTTCCTCAAATGATTTCGCAGTTCTTATGGTTTATTAGAAAATACGGGAGCGTTCCTACAATAATACCTACGTTCTTGAAACGATAATGATTTTCCAGAACACATTATTGCTATTATATTCGCATAGACAGTCTTCCTCAAACACGTGGGAGGCCTCCTTGAAGCGTACGGTCGATATCATCGTCTTCTTTCGAATACCGCTCGAAGTTCAACCGGCGTTGATCGCTGATTAATCGCGCATCGAGAAACGCTGTTTGCTCTCTCATTTATACCCGCCGTGACTGCGCGGATCAGATTAGAAGCCACTATGCCCGACTTCTCCCGCTTATGGCATTCGTCCATGTACGATTTAACGTCGCGAATACGGGGTGATCTGGAAAAGCCGCCGTGGAACTCGCGATATGCGAAGCGCAGTGACTAGACTCGAAGCGAAATTGTATCGTAATTTTGCAAAAAGACGAAAAATTTATCGTATATAATAATATAATAATATTATTAATTTAACAAGCACACACACACACACACACACACACAAATATTTTCGCAACTGATAGTTAAATAATATAATTAAATGAAAAATAATATCATAAAGAAAGAAATTTTTTTATTATAAATTATTTCACAAAAAGACGAGAAATTTATTGTATGTAATAATATAAAAATATTATTGATTTAACAAGCATACACACGTATATAAATATTTTCGCAACTGATAGTTAAATAATATAATTAAATGAAAAATAATATCATAAAGGAAGGAACTTTTTTATTATAAATTATTTCGCAAAAGGACGAGAAACTTATTGTATGTAATAATATAAATATATTATTGATTTAACAAGCATACACACGTACATAAACATTTTCGCAATTGATAATTGATAAATAATATAATTAAATGAAAGATAGTATTATAAGGGAAGAAACTTTTTTATCATATTTCATCAAATTATATAATAATGTTATCATTTAAATTATCGAAATTTTGAAATTTTTTATTTTTATATTCGACGGTACTATTCATTAGGTTTGTTCAAAATGACGGTTCATTGCACGGTTTTGTGCGTCACAAATTTGCTTGTATCACATTCAATGGAGGACGGACATTCATCAATCAAACGCGCGATCGCTATACCTGTCTCTCGTTAAGCTCTGATCTACAATAGGTGATTTAAGCTTTAAACTATAAGAAATTAACCAATTACAGTTGAATGTGAGGAAAATAATCGACTGCTATTGGTTAATGTTTTATAGCTTAAAGCTTAAATCACCTATTGTGGACCAGGGCTAATAGTTTTCTCGTTAATGGCTTAGTTGATTTAATGACGAGCGATTTAATGAACGTAATGACTCCCCGCTCCCCCCCCCTAAATCGAGCCAAACTTACTTTTTACGTTTCAATTTCTTTTTATTCCTTAGAATTCTCGCTTTCTTAGAATGTTCTCTCTTTCCCCAATTATTTATTTACTATTATATTTATCTTACTTATTATTTTCAGTCTGACCAAATGTCTCCGACTTTCGCGAGTCTTTGCTTCAAATCACCCGCTATGTTCGCCGATACACGAGCGGCCGATTTTCGCGGCGAATTTCCCAGGACGAAAACGAATTCTCGATTTCACAAAGCTAGTCCTCCGCCGCGTGTACTTCGCGAAGTATACCGCGAAGTGGAATCCGCCTTTCGCATCCGATCGATCGTATCGCGATTGGATTTTACGAATGAAACGATTATTACGACGTATAGAGAGCACGATCGAGCCGTGTCGGAAAGCTCACCGCTCACCGCGGCGGTCAGCAACGAAGCTATTTGAGGCCTCATTTGCGTAGAAAAAAAAAATATTTCCTCCCCACGTAGTCACGAGCTACGTAACGTGAACTCAGCGCGACGCTTGCGTAATCCTGCGTTTCCGCTTCCACGCTGCGGCTACGACACGCGTCTCAATAACAAAAGATATCTCCTAGTTTCCCTCTCCCTCTCGCACACGCGATAAGAAGAGCGAACAATTAGCCAAATGAATGGAATTAGCGACGAGCATGAGCCAACAAAACGGCGTCCGTTGATTCAAAGCGACGTCGAGAGAGAGAGAGAGAGAGAGAGAGAGAGAGAGAGACGGCTTAAAAGAGAAGAATCGCACGCGATTAATCACGTTAACACGGAAAAATTACGGAGTAAAGCTTGCGTAACGATAGAATTAAGCGGAGCAGCGATTATGACGTTAATGCGTAATCGGGCTTATCAGACCGACGTAATCGTCCCGTTCGCATAATAATTAATTAAGAGTCGCGAGTCTCATCAGGGCAATGACGATCGCGCAGACGGTCGCGTGGGAGGCGAATGGAACACCGAGTCGAGGAACGTCGAACATCCCGCCATGTACGCGGCCGAGGAAACGCTGTGTATTGCAGAAAAATGTTTATTACACAGGGAGAGAAAGTGCGCGCCGGGACTACGTAAGGCGCTCAGTGCGCCGCGCATTCATTATTCATGCAACCGAGGCGAGCAGATAGCGAACGGAATCATCGTACGCGGCCGTTTCGCGCTCGTTAAGGGGACTGGAGAGTCGGATTGCTGAAAAATCGTGCTTGTTTTTGATAATATTTTGTGACGAACTGAATAAATGTGCAAGAATGAAAATTTTAGGTATATTACATATTTATATTTATATTTATATTATATTTAGGTATATACAACATATGAAGAGTAGAAAAATTTTGTTTATTAACAAATACTCATATAAATATACTCTCCTTTTTTTTCAAGTTGTCGTTTTTGCGGTAATATCTCGGCTCTCGATGAAGAACCAGAACGAATTTTGGCTAGAAATCTTGAGGAGACTTATTATTATCCGGTAAACCACTACAAAAAGAATCGAACAAAATTAACAAAATGGCAGTTATTATTAGGAAAAGATCCAAATTTTTCAGTTTTTTTACAATAAAAAAATTAATATCTCGAAATGAAATATTTCGACGTAACTGTCCATGGTTCATCTGAGAGCCAGATGAACAAATGTTATTGCTTTAAAATTTCAAATCTATACGTAGCTCAGTTTCGGAGAAATCACTGCAAAAAGTTGAATAATAAAATTTCGAGAAAAACGCATTTAAAATTTAAGTGGACGTATATTTATATGAGTGTTTGTTAATAAACAAAATTTTTCTACTCCTCATATGTTATATAAATATATCTAAAATTTTCATTTTGCACATTTATTCAGTTCGTCACAAAATATTATCAAAAGCGAGCACGATTTTGCAGTAATCTGACCCTCCAGTCCCCTTAAATGTCGCGGGGGAAACGCTGCCAGGCCGTTTTCCGCGGCGCGGTCCTGACGGTTACTCGCGCCGAATACGGGAATGCCTGTTCACCGGCTGTTTGCCGTTTGCCAAGCACACGGTAGCGTTGTTATGATTACGCTCCGGTGACGACGATGGACACGAGACATGGATATGACATCGTAATCGATAACCGGCCGGCTGGAAGCGAGGTCGATTAGGGAAAGCAGCCGCATCGGGGACGTCTGTGCGAGCCCTTGGATCGAGAAAGAGATTAGGGAAGCTTGATGGCCGAGATATAAATAAATAATTTAATTACATAATGTCAAGGTAGCGTGTGAGGATGGAAATAAGTATGAGAAACAACAGAGAGTTGTATGGAAGCGAAAATGTGGGGGAATGAATGAATAAATAGGCAGACGAAGGAATGAAAAATTGTAAAATAAATAAATTGGAAGATGAACGAATAAAATGTAAATAAATACATATGTGTGCGAATGTGGTTTTCTCGTATTTTCAGATTGCAGATTTTCAGATTCAGAGAAAGCGGGAGGAAGAATATATACATAGTTCGTTAGAAAGTTAGGATAATTGCTGTATTAATTGCGCTATAATTATACGTCGGCGTTAATGTTAACACGATCTTTATGTGTCTGATGTATGTGGGGCGTTCTTTCTGAGTGGGCCCGCTATTCGTCACAAGTGCTACCGATATGTACGTTTCATATCTGTGTCATTCTTGTGTAATCTTCGGCGGAGAATTTTGCCGGAGAACAAAATTCGCTTATCAAGATCTCCAACTCCAAATCTATGAGTCTCGTCGCTTTATCAGTTGCGCAAGTTTGGTGAATCTTTCGAGTTTGGCTTTCTCAACCAGCTGCCAACGGTAATGAATCATTCATCAACTGAATATTCACCCAGAAAATCGAACCGAATGTTTTTACCGATTCATTGTGTATTTATGTACGTATCTCCGTAGACTCTTGCTTCTTTCAAGCTTTAAACACTGATCTCTGTTTCATGAGAAACAGCAACCTTGCTCTTGCCGCACGGAACGCCTCATATCGTATTAATGTTGAACAAATATCGTCTCGACGAAACATTTCGGCGTTTCAGCAGACAAGTGTCGAGCATAAACACCCGGTGAGCGCAAAAGTCCTGGCAGAAAAATGGACCGAACTTAATTCCGTTGAAAACGATTAACTCATTCGACCGAGTAATTTGTCATCTTTCGGCGGAGAACAATGGCGATTACCTGGAATGAATTATAAGTATCAAGCAAATATCAGTGAGTTAAAGAACTCAGGCGTCTCAGCGTCTGAAGCTTTTTAATACTTCAGCGAACGCCAGTGTATCAAGTATCGAGAATAAGCACGTGCGCGTTGTACGAAGCGAATATCGTCCGGACGACGACATTTATTTTATGAGCGTGTAAACACACGTAGCTGCACGACCGCTCCCAGGACTAACGTATGAAACCAGAAGAGACATATGTAATTTATGAGACTGGCGCAATCTCAGAATTGGGTCTCGAGATCGGCGTATCACGCAGTGCGCGATATAATCGGGCCGGATAGCCGTCTGAAACAAAATACCAGCGCGAGTGTATACCCGTCGCCAATTGTCGGAAGATATATCATCATCGTCATCTAACGGCGACTGACACGCGAGCATTGATGGCTGCGCCCGATCGATCGGCGGGATAAAGCGACTGGAGATTTATCATCGCCGAGTGTACGCTACTGGTAACCTGGCGACTGGAGGCTCGATTGACCGGCTCGTGCATAAATTATATTATGTTATCGGTGCGTCACGCTTACTAACTGGCCGAACTTTACGCACCGCTGATCATCAGTGGGCTCGCCGCGCGCGCGCGCGCGCGCGGTCATTAAAAACAGACGCGATTGAAATTGACCGTATCGGCGGTGTTATTCGCCGACCGGTGTCTTACGTGTTAGACAGCGTTTTCGACAGCGACCGGTTGCCGCGCGATATCGCAGATAACACGCAGGTTGCTCGCGACCCGACTTGGCGCGCGCGCGCTCGCCCGCCGTATCTCGCGGTTTATCTCAGGATCTCGTCGGCGTTTCGCGCTTTATTTAACTTCATTTACTCGCCCATTTGTCGCGAGATCTCCCGGGGCGAAATTTTGCA